TCAAACCGCTGAGCTTTCCTAGGGAATGGCCCCTGAGTGGCTGCCAGCTACCGCTGTCCCTCTCTGCAATTTACCCCTTTGCATTCGGACTTCCATTGCAGAAAGGGGCTGAGATTCCTGGGAGCTGCTTCAGGGGCTGGGGATCAGACCCCACAGTGGGGGTTGCCATGTGTCCTGCACTGTCCGCATATGTTACTGTATCTCTCCCCTCCCCTCTTGTTTTGCAAACTGCTGTGGCCTGTCCTCACACTGAAGTCTAGGCTTTGAAACATGCCCCCACCGACACCCCCTATAACTCCTACCTATGGCCTTGGCCCCTTCTAGCTGTTGTCACAGCAACTTGTACTGAGATCAGCACCAAAAAGAGCATCACACAGGAGCGAGGTCTGAATGTAAGCACAGGTTGTGCCCTTACTGCCTGTGGGACTCGGGGGAGGTCCCTGCAGCGCTGAACAATCTTGGAGAGCGCCCACTCCGCCAGCCTGTGCTAGCTACATTGCGGGAAAGGAAGAGGAATAGGAGCGCTCCCCGTTAGGATGAGACAGACATGCTCCTGGACTCGGTTTCCTCCTCTGTGCGTCTGACAATCGCAGGGTTCAGGGTTCGGCGCACAAGGCTCAGTGGTCAGTATGACGGTGCTTTGCAAAACTGGGAAGCGCCACCCACAAGGCAGCGCTGGTTCCTGCCGGTAGGTCCTCGGTCCCCACGGGGCTGGCTGCGCGCTGCGGGCGCAGGCGGCGGGGCGGCGGGCCGGCGGCGGACGCTCACCTGCTCGTTGAGGAACACGGCCAGCACCACGTAGCAGACGTTCCTCCGCAGCCGCACGGGTGCCGGCAGCTCCCCGGCCGGCTCCGAGTCCCAGCTCTGCACACGCAGCCCCTGACCCCCCAGCACCGCTTCCAGCTCCCCCGCCGGGCCTTCCGAGGCCATCCGGTCCCCTGGGAGGCGGCGGCCTGGGCCCGCAGACCCGCTAGGCCAGGCGGAGAGCGCCGCGGGGGAGCGCCGTGGGGAAGCGCCGTGGGGAGCCCGCGGTGCGTTGCGTGGGCCTCCGTCCCCTCCCCCGCGGACTCGCGCCGGGCGCTCCCGAACGAACACGGAAGCGCCGGCCGAGCCCCGGCCGCTGATAGGCTGCGCTTCCCCGCGGCCGGCCCGGATTGGCTGACCCGCGTCTGTCATCGCGGAGGCGGGGCCAGTCGGGGCAATGCGTACACCACCCAGTTTGGGCTTCTCTACCCGTTTCTCCTCGCCCTCTCCCGGTACCTCTAGCCGCCAGCCTCGCTAACATCTCCAGCGCGCACAGGTCCGCACCGGTTCTGACGGTTGCGTCATCCTGCCTGTGGGCTGCGGAGCGCCACAGTAGCCAGCGACGGTGACGTCACAAGCCGAATGACGTCACGGAGGTCTGGGGCCGCGATGCATTGTCCAGCTTTTTTGTCATAAACATACCACTGCATTGCCCAAAATGATCACTTCCTAAATAACCTTTTTTTTTTCCACCAAAAATGTACTGTAACAGAGGACATAAGCTCTTGCTTTGGAGGAGATTCTGATCTAGTTGGGAAGGTAGATGTAGACATATAATAAAAAGTCAACTCAGGGTTATAAGCCGAGAGCTAAATGACTGGTTTGAGCTGGAGGTGTGACAGCGCTCAGAGGAGGGAGGGAGCAGGGCTGGGATGGTCAAGGTGTGGCTGGCAGTGGGAGAAGGGGGATGGGGCAGAGAGGTCCTCGGATCAGCGTCCCAGCCCCCTGCCTGGCATCTCCTATTCTGTTTCAGCGCCCTCTACCCTGCAGCCTGGGAGCCCTGGGCGAGCAGGGGCCAGTTTCTGCTCCTTCATCTCTGTTGCCCCCACCGCCAGCTGGCTCAGCCTGCTGCTCTGAGAGCAGGGTGTGGATTTTGGCGAGCTCCCGCTTCTCTCCCAGCCTGACCTTTCCTCCTCAGAGCTTCCTTTAACCACCTCTCAGGACAGGAAGGCAGGGCCAGCTGGAGTGAAACTGTGAAGCCAGCCAAATCTGGGATCCTCAGTTAGGTCTCCCCTCTTCCTCCTGCTGCCTTTGTGCACCTCCCTCTGTGTGTGTGTGTGTGTGTGTGTGTGTGTGTGTGTTTTGGGGGGGGGGGTGGAGGGTGGGGGTGAGGAGGTTAGTCGCTTGGTGGAGCAGACAACGCAATGGACTTGGAGCCAGATGCCCGACCTCTGTAAGTTGTGAGCATCAGTCTCCCCATCTGTGGGTTGGCTCACAGCTTTCCCTTCACAGGGGTCTTGGGAGGTGAGATGTCATGGAGGAGCTCCATGGGCTGTTTACCAGGCAGCCCACCAACTGCCCCCACCCCTGGCTGGGCCCTCCTGGCCACAGCACTTGTTGCTACAACACAAAGGCCCACTTTCATGAAGTGTGCCTCCAAGGCCACCATGGAACTAGACTCAAGGGAATTCCAGCCACACCAGGTCTGCCTCCTTAGGCCCTTCTCACACATGAACTGAGATCCCTGGAGGCGGGCGCTGTATGAGGCTGTGGGCCCACACTCTTTGGAGGCACTTGGTGACGCTGCTGCTCCCAGCCCCAGACCTATTGCCTCCCAACAGCTGAACTCACCAGGCTTAGAGGCTCCTAGCACTGCAGAGCCACCTGTTAACATAGTGTGTGTGTGTGTGTGTGTGTGTGTGTGTGTGTGTGTGTGTGTGTATCCCCCAGTTTTCCCATCTGTGAAGTGGGGACAGCGTTGGTCCCAGACTCCTTTCTGCCTCCCGGGGATGATTTGAGAGAGAATGAGGTCATGTCTGGGCAGGGCTGTGAGAGCCTCAGAGGCAGCCTAAGATAAACACCAGACAGCCTGACTGCCTAGAAGAGCAAAGACTTCAACAAACCGCGGCTCCACTCCCCCCATTATCGCTGGGAAAAGTGCTCCGTTCCTCTGAAGTGGACCTAATCACCTCTGTGGTGAGGAGCACAGGAGGCAACTATGAAAGCCGCTTGTAAAGTGTGAAGGGCAGCCCTGGCGAGGCCCTCGGACTGTGCCAGCCCTTCCTGGGAGCGGAGGGAGACAACAGAAGGCAGACTTTCTCAGGCTTTGGGAGGAAGGGAGCACACCCCAGACCGAGGCAGGAGAGGCCCTGAGACAGATGGGAAAAGCTGAGGATGGGGGCTGAGATAGAAATCTTCAGAACCAGAAACAAAGAAAGGTTTCCCTCATGTCTGCTCCGTGCCCTCCATTTCCAGAGAGGGAAGATCGCTGGCAGGTGGGGGTGGCCATGCAGCGGGGTGGCCCAGAGTGTCCACACAGTACAGTGCCCACAGGAGCGAAGCCTGAGCCAGCCATTCCAGGGCACATGGACCCACTTATGCATGTGAGTAGGAGTGCAGAAGGGCAGTGTAGGCAACCTCAGAAACCGAAGGGATGGCATGGGCAGGCAGGGCGGGGCAAGGGTGTCTGTAACACCAGAGTTGGTCACAGAGAAACAAACCCTGTCCCTTGTCAAAGTGGGAAGGGTAAGGAGGGCAGTAGCCCAGGGTTAGGGAGGAGGTCTGGCCTCAACCTGGGCGATGCCACTAGCTTGCTGTGATCTTGGGAAAGCCACATCTCCCTTCTGGGTCATTGGTAAGACACAGGCAGAAGTGAATCCTGAAACAGAATGGACATCAAGGGAAAACTAGTGAATCTCAATAAAGTCTGTTGCTTAGTTAATAGTGTTGTATGGAAACCAATGTCTTAGTTCTGATCACTGTGCCATGGTTATGTACCATGTTAACATGAGAGGAAGCTGGCTGAAGGATAACTGGGGAATGGTCTGTGCTATTTTGGTGACTCGATTGTAAATCTACAATCATTTCAAAATTAACAATCTAGAAAATGTACTTTATCAGAAAAAAAGGAAGAGGTAGCATGAAGTATACCTGAGGTCATTTCTAGCATTGAGGGTGTGCCTCGCCATCCGGGCCAGCGAGAGAGGCTGGAGGTGAAGGTGGGCAGTGGGGTTGCTGGGAAAAGCAGAGGCCTAAAGAGCAGGGCTGGCCTGGGTGGGGGACAAGCTAAGCCTCTGTAAGGAAGAGGGCCACCAAGTGCCTCAAGTCTCAAGGCCAGTCCCCGCCTGAACTGGCTTCATCCCCAGTCCAGTCCTGGGACAGTTGGTCCATCTGCTGTTCGCATGGAGTCCGACCCAATATTCCCTGGAGGTACTGTGACCCCAGGCAGAGGTCTGTGGGGAAGAAAGAGGCCCCGTGGCAGAGCCACCCCCATCTTCTCAGAGGAAGGACCCTGTATTTGGTGTTCTGGGGTGACATCAGGACAAGGCTATATAAAGTGAAGTGTAGGTAAGGATGGGTCACCCAGTGCCACTTGGAACATGATCAGCTATAAAGTGCATGTATTGGAAGGAGGACAGAGCAGACAGCAGAGCCATCTGCAAAGGCCATTAAGCCCCAAGTAAATGAGGCGGCTGGAGTCAGGACAAGTGGTTCAAATCCCAATGCTGCCACTGAAATTGCAATGTGGCCTTGGGTGACTCACTTACCCCCCAGCCTGCCTGTTTTCTCTTCTGTGTAATAGAAATAAATAACATCTACCTCAGAATCATGACACCGGATTAAATGAAATCACTTAAAGGAAAACAGTGGCACAGTAAAGTGTAGGAGTCCCTTAATTTTTTGTTTTTCTTTCACATGAAAATAATCTAGCTTTGCAGACAATGAAGGAACGTTTTTGGTGTTTTTTTTTAAATGAAGGATGGCTATGTAAATCATGGCAAAGCCACGTTCGGGAATATAAGCAGCCATTAATAATGAAGGTTAGGTAGCAACCCAGGAAATGATCACAAGAGTGTTTGTTAAAAGAGAGAAACCAAGTAAAAAGCAAACCAATTCAACTGCATGTAACACAGGTCCTTTACACGAGGAAATACTAGGAGGAAATATACCAAAATACGATCAGTGGTTGGGTTGAGAGTGAGTGGAGGTGGAATTACAGGTGACATTTCTTATTTTCTAAATGTTCTGAAAGTGTATTAAATTTATAATAAAAAATTTTATTTTATTAAAAAAATCACACACACATTTCCCGAACCACCGCAGAACAATCAGGTATGACGAGTGGGAGCATGCTGGCTGAGGTGTGCTAGGGCAGGGGAACAGGCAGAGCCACACCAGAGAGCCCTGGGGATGGGGAGGGGCTGCCAACCGGCTCAGGCAGCAGGCCAAGCCCTGGCCGGGGCTGTCCTGGGCCATACTCCCGGAGCTCCGAGTCAGATCAGATGGAAGAGATGGGGTAGCCTGGAGTTTTCGGGGAGGGTTGGGGTCAAAGCCACCTTGCTGCTGTGCCCAGGGCTCTGCCTTGCTATTGTCGCTTGTCAGGAGCATCCTCAGGGTAGCCCCCTGGAAGGCTCCATCTGCTCAGTGAGAGGGAGGGACCCAGGTCCAGGGAAGAAGAGCAGGCAGGGGTGTTTGAGGTCCCTGTCAGAGACAGCCCAGCTCCTGCCCACCTGGTTCCATTTCCATGTCTCCCCTCCCTCCCCAATCTATGTGGCCAGCAGGAGCAGGGCCAACCACACTGGCCTGGTGGCTTTCAGAAAACAAGACTTTAATGGAAAATAGGAAGGAGGGAGGTGAGAGGAGGGAACAGGGACAGGGCCTCACCCCATCATTCCCTTCAGCCAAGCCTGGGTAGTGTCCTGAGGCCACCCCCGCCCCACGCGTCACAAGAGGGCAGGATTTCAGCGGCCCCATTGTCCAGATGCCTGCAGTGCATGGGCGCCCAGAGTCCCGTGAGGAGGTGGGTGTGTAACAGAGCTTGGCGCAGGTGGGACAGCAGGAGATGAGGGAGCAGAAGGTGTTGCTTAAGCCAGACTGATTCCCAAAGTCCCCCAAGGAAAGGCTGTTTGTCTCCTGGGTTGGGGGGCCAGGGGCTGAAGGGAGTCAGCACCCCCAGTGTGGGCCTGGTACCATGGAGAGGGGCACAGGGGTGGAGCAGGTGCCAGCCTGCGAAGGGCAGGTGTGAACTTCAGTGGCACTGTGGTTGTTGGCTTTAGGGTCCAGGTTAGAAGCGGGAAACAGGGTGTCCTGCTGGTACCCAGAGTGGTGCATGTGGAATTGACCAAAAGTCCCCAAGTCCCCAGTGTCTTCTCTGCTTATGCTGTGCCTGAGCTGAGCACCTGGTCTACCTACCCACCACCTCTACCCCAGACACCTGGGATCCCTCTATTTAGCTTCCCGTAATGTTCCCACGGCCAACTTCACTGCTTGGAACACAGCCCAGTCCACCTAGGAGAAAAACGAGAGGACACGGAGTTCACAATCGTATTCGTGGGCTCTCCCCACCAAAAAGAACGCCCTTCCTGGCCTCGGCTAGCTGCTTGCTTGGCACAGAGCTGTATCTGTTGTGCCACCCCAGCTGTGCCACAGGAGGACTTGGGAAGCACACCCAGCTCCCTGGCCAGCGTCATACTCACCTGGGCACAAAGCAGGCGGCAGTCAGGGGACAGGCTGGACCCCTGGTGGCAGAGCTGAGCAGAGAGGGCAGAGGTCTCGGGGGACATGAAGTGCTGAGTGACACTCACTGTGCTTACCAGGCCCTGCACCTGTGCCAGGAAGGAGGGGAACAGGAGGGTCAGTGGAGACTCACGCTTCCCAGCTTGGCCCTGATCTCTATTTCCCATCATGACCCTGCCCAGCTCTCAGAGAACAAAGGCTCTGGATCCAGCACCAGCATCCCCAAGGGCATAGCCAAAACCAGGCCAAGGGGATGCCAGAGATGGCACAGGCAGAGTCAGCACCCACGGACCCAAAGCCCAGTTCAAGAATGCCACAGTGGGAGTGTGCTTCCTGCCCAGCCTAGGTCCCCGGGTCTGGAGAGGGACGAGGCCATACCAGGTGGGGGATGCAGCATCGCTGTGCTGCTGTTCTCGCTGTTTCTGGCACTCTGAGCTCTCAGCAGAGCCTGGGCCCCTGGGGACGCACCTGGTGGGGAGCCCCTGCGGGGACCAGCACAGCCTCTCCGGGGGCCTGCAGCAGGGTCCAGCAGCTCACACCCCACTCCTCCCGCAGGCGCCGCCGAAGCCCTGCATCCAGGTAGCAGCTTCCTGGGGTGCCAGGCTCCAGGTTGCCTGCCCCAGCCGGACACACCTCAAAGAAGAGAAAGGGGAATGAGCAAGGGAGGGAGGCGAGGGCAGGGCTGTGGGCACTGGAAAGAGCTGAGTGTTCAGGTCTTGAAGGGCAAGCAGAGAGGACAGACTAGTAGGAGGGAGAGAAAGGGGCTGGGTGGCGAGGGGCTGCGGCCACTAAGGTTGGCAGATTGGATATTCGGCTGAAAGGAGCTTAGAGGAAAGGATTAAGGGCCCTGAGGTGAGGGGGGTCTAAATCCCCGCTTTTCCTGAAGCCAGATGCCTTGAGGAGCCTGGCCCTGGGCCCTCTCCTCCGTCACGCAAACATACCCCTTTCTCCAAAACCCAGGAAGACACCCTGAATAGTCCCAACTCATGAACTTGCTATACCAGCAGCTCTTAACCTGGATTCCAGCGAACATCGGAATTGTGTGCTAAATTGTAGGTGATTGATTAGGTGTTCCTGGAGAGAAAATCCAAATTCTTCTATGATTCCAGACTCAGAAGCAGCAAGGACACACAGAAACTCTGACTCCCAGTGGATGGGCAGGCTGGCCCGTCCGGGCCAAGGCCCCTGAAGCAAGCACAGCCATGGGGGCGGCTTTGCCAGCCAAACCCGAGCAGGGAGCTCCTTGGGCAGACAGGGACCGGCAGAGGCCAGAGCAGATGCCTAGGAAATACCTACAGAGGCTGACACCAGCATCGCGCCCCAACTGGCCACCAGCAAAACCCACCCCTTCAGCTAGAACCTCAGCAATGGTCTCTGGGCTTCGGGCTCCAAGACTGAGCCACGGGGAGGGGGAGACTGGTAAAGCCAGGTTGGACCCTCGGGTAGCTCCAGGCAGGAGCCAAGGCTCCTTTGACCCCGCCCCCCAGTTCAAGTCCATCCTGGGGCTAGGTCAGTGCTCCCCAGGCCACCCAGTGAGACTGCACCCCTCAGATTCCCCATGCCTCATTGGATTTGGCCATATGGGACTGCCATGTGGGTATGAAGGGATGCTTCTGTCTGCTCCCCTCTGCAGATGTGTTCCAGCATCTGTGTGTGCATCTACAGGTCTACATGTGCCTGTCGACATATCTGCAGATGTGCATGCCTGTGGGCAGGAGGGTGGTGGTGGGCAGCCATGTTGACATCGGCATGTCTGCATGTGAGCAGATGCCTTAGCAGGGGTGACACTTGGTGGACATCTTTTCCCCAGGACAATCCGAGCTCAGCCAGACTTTGAAACTGGACCTGCCCTAACCTCAACATTGGCCCCAGCCGCTGGCCCTTCCTGCCTCCTGCTCACCTTCTCTTCCCTTGCCCCTCAGTGTGGTCCAGTCTCCCCTCCACCTGCCCCGTGGCCTCCTTCAGCCCTTACTTGCTAGCAACTCAAGGAGCACCTCCTCATGAGATGTAGATGACTTAAGGGAGCGTAGCAGGTGGGCATCTCAGACGGGCTTCCCTTTGCCTATGTAGGGGAGGCCCCAGGAGGAGCACAGGGTAGTGACCTGGGATGGGAACAGCTATAAGCTCAGGTCCCAGCTCTATCACTCAGCCTCAGTTTTCCTCATCTGCAAAATGGGAAAGCAGCCTGTGCGTATGAAGGAGTGGTGTGACCATGAACTGAGATAATGGACCAAGGCCTCAATACAGTGCCTAGCCTGCAGCAACTCCGAGTCCATGTCATCACTGGCTCCCACCTCAACCCTTGCTCTTTCTGTGCATCCATCCCATGACTCCCACAAGGTCCCAGTCTGCCTTCTCTGCACATGCGTGTGAGTCGAGGCTCACCTGAGGGAGTGGGGAGCACAGAGAACACAGACAGGGAGGGCTTCTGGGTGGGAAGTCCTGCTCCCAGGGAGCCGAAGGGCTGCATCGGGGAAGGGCAGGGTCCCGTCTCCCTCCTCACCATCTGGAGAAAACGGCGGATGCGTTGGGCGTCCTGTGCCCGGAACACGTGCCACACGGTGCTGACCTGGCTGCCTGGAGACCAGAGCCCCTCCCCGTCCAGGCCTGAGAGGAAGTCTGAGAGAGAAAGACGGTCAGGAGAGCCCAGGGCAGGCAGACACAGCACCTCACATCTGCAGCTTGTCCCCACCCTGCTTCCGCCCGAGGACCCACCTTTCTGTGCCCGATGCCAGGCAGGCAGTGGGGCTTCAGCACGGACCAGGATGCTGACTAGGTCAGTCACCTCCACACAGAGGTTCTTGGTCCCCAGGTGCCCACGGTGTGGGCTTACACCTGCACGGAGGTAGAGAAAGGACAGTTGGGAAAAGGTGCCAGAACCTTGGCACAGACGTATAGGCACAGAGATGATAGGAATGGGGCAGGGACTGGGCTGGAGTGCAGTGCACACGTACCATAGGCTGCCCACAGCTGGGGCTCCAGTGGACACAGGGCAGGGCCCGGTGGGAGGTAGGAAGCCAGGTTGAGTTTCCCATGTTGGGCACAGTACTCTGGGAGGGGCAGGCTGGCAGCCAGGTTCTCCAGCCTGTGGGGGAGGAGTCATGCCCAGCAGGCTCAACCCAGGCACCAGAGACCCCATCAGAGCCCTCCACTACAGGGGTCACTCCCAGAGGCAAGCAGAGTGTACCAAGGGTCACAGGTGGGGGGAAGGAGGAGAGGAGGGAGGGCCAGTCCTTGGTCCCATACACACCTGCTCGTGTCCTCATCCCGCAGAGCTCTGTGCAGCAGGAGGACTGAGCCCTCAGATGACTTTGGGCGAACTAGGGGAGGAACAGAGAGGCCATTGCCCAGAGGCCCTGTCCCCGGGGCAGCAACACAGTCCTGTTTCTGCCCTAGGCCCTGCTTCCAGCTGCCCCCAGGGTCCCTCTGGGCCTCCGCTGCCACCTCCCTCTACCCCACACCAAAGACACTTACTCTCAGGCCGGGAGAATCCATCCCAGAAGGCTGCCGTGCCCAGGTTTGTAGGCTGCGGAGGCCCGAGGGGGGTCAGCGCCTGCACCTGGCCTCCAAGCGCCTCAAGAGCCTCGGTCCCCCACAGGCTGCCTTGCAATGTCCTCTGAATCCCTGACACCAACACAGGCTGTAGTGGGGGGGATGGGGACACGGGGAGAAAGATGGGGTGCCCAACATGCTCAGGCTGGGGTGTGTGGTAGAGATCACAGAACAGCTCGGGGACCAGCCCCTGCTGCTCCAAGTCAGTGGTTCTCAACCTTCCTAATGCCGCGACCCTTTAATACAGCTCCTCATGTTGTGGTGACCCTCAACCATACAATTATTTTCGTTGCTACTTCATAACTGTAATTTTGCTACTGTTATGAATCGTAATGTAAATATCTGATATGCAGGATGTATTTAGGCGACCCCTGTGAAAGGGTCGTTCGACCTCCAAAGGGGTCGCGACCCACAGGTTGAGAACCGCTGCTCTAAGTGATGGGCCAGGCCTAGGGATCAGGGCCCTGAGGGGAGGCGAGGCTGTGAGAGCTGGCAGTGGGGTGGTGAGAGCCTCACCTGGCCCTGCCTCCAGTGCTCCTGGAAGAGGTGGAAGCCTCGCCGAGGCCTGGGCTCCTGCAGCCACAGCAAAGCCCCCGGGGGAGGCAGCCTAGGCCGCACTGGTGAGAGGGGCAGGCCCAGACCCTTGCGCAGGGCTGATCCAGGCCGCAGCCCAGGCCCCAGGGCTTTCTCCTGGATCTTCCGTTCCACTACCTGCGCGATGATGCTGTCCAGGATATTGGTGATTCGGTCATCCTACGGAGGCAGGGGGTGATGGAAGGCAGAGGGACTCAGGACCTGCCAAACTCGCAGGGAGGGCCAGCCCCACCTCTGCCCCCAGCGCGCCCCCCATGCCCTTGCTCACGCTGGGCAGGGCTGGAGTGACAGGGGCAAAGGCCATATGTATCCGCTCGTGCCCCAAGCAGAGTTTGACAGCAGTGGAGGCCAGCAGTTCACAGAGAGAGGGACAAGGCAGGGGCCCTCGGCTGGCACGGTCCTTGGCAGGGGTCTCTGTGGAGTCCAGGGTCTCTGTTGGGGAGAAAAACAGTGAAGGCTTCCCCTTCCTCTTGAGGCTCCCTTGCCCACATGCTCTTCCTCATCTCCTGGCCGAGCCCACTCTCTCCTCACTGGCTGGCCCATCGCTCCACTCTCTCCTCATTGGCTGGCCCATCGATCCACTCTCTCCTCATTGGCTGGCCCATCGCTCTGGATGCACTCGCCCCCCCACCCCGGCTTTCCTACTGGCAGCTCCAGAGCCTCTCCCAAGAAGGGCTCAGGAAGGGGTTCTGGCTGGAAAGAGATTAGGAGGCTTGTCCTAGGTTTTGTTTAGATTTACTTTCTCTAGAGCGACTTGAGAAGAGTACTAACAATTGGGGGAGGGGGCGGCTAAAGCCATTCCAGTCTCTCCTGAGGCGTCCCACCTGGCCCAGCATGCCCACCCCAGTCTGAACCAGGGGCAGGGGCCTCACCCGCTTTGATGTCCTTGGTCCTGTTGGTGTCCTCCGTGCAGGAAGGTTGTGGAGTTGGGGTGTTTTTTTCTCTAGGCTCCTTCTGTTAAACCCATCCACCACCCCCAGTCCAACCAGAGATTTTAAAATGGCAAAGGCAACTCAATCCAACTCAACCCACAAGCATTAACAACAGACTCTTGAACGTCCTAAAATCATGTTTACAAGAAGCAAAAGGTTATATAACGTTAGGTGGGGAAAAGTTGCTCATGGGATCCTATGTACAGTCCAATCTGAAGTACACTAGAACAGACTCGAATAAACAGATAGGCAAACTACTGATACCAAAACGATCGTGTGGCATTACAGGCCACTGTCATTTTCTTCCTTATCCCCCTGTCCATATTTTCCAAATTTTCCACCACGGGTATGTAGCATGGAGCTTGTCATGCAAAATGCATTCAATAAACTATTTCTTGAATGAATAACTTTTATAACAAAAACTCAAGCTTCATAAAAGCTTTGCAAAATGCCTATCTAGCACCTGCTATGTGAGAGGTGCAGGGAATACTGAGATGAGCCAACATTCCACCGGCAGGAGTCTGTGCCTGGGATGTGGACAGACAGGACAGGAAAGCAAGCCGCTCGAGCAAGATGTGGCAAGTGCTGAGCTGGAACCTGCACAGAGTGGATAGGCGCTCTGGCTGTGCACAGTGAGGGCTTCTGCTGGGCAGGGGACAGGGACAGGGGTGGGACAAATGCTAACACTGGCTCCATGGACCCAAATCCCCAAGGGAGGGTGGGCAGTAGCCTGATGTTCCTCTTCGTTCCCATCTAAAGAAAGGGGCCAAACCCTGCCAAGGTCAGTACTGTGCATCACGCTGCGCAATCCTGGGGCCCACGGCTAGTACTCTGTCACCGTGCCGTGCTTCTTACCTGCTGGCCCCCATCCCCAGGGGCCCACACCTGGGCATCAGCTTGGCAGGGACAGTGCTCCCGGATATCAAACTTGATCCAGACCTGGTGCATTGCGGTGCTCAGTTCTGCCAAAGCTGGAGGGGGGGGGTGGGGGTGGGGGGGGGGATGGAGTTTGGTGGTGACTGCAGACAAGAGGCAGCCCTGTGCTGCTTGACCTCACCAACCAGGAGGGCATGGCATCCAAACAGGAAGCTGCTCTCCCCCAGGACCCGCCCCCTGCATGCCTCCACCCCTCCACAATGACTCACCCTGGCTGGAAACAAACTGGGTGAGCATCAGGGAGGAGGCGCTGTGCCCAGCCTCCTGGGCACACTCCTCCGTGGGCTGCTCCGGAGAGCCTGTGGGGTAGAAAGGGAGAAGCTGCATGTCAGAAAATCAGGGCAAGCACAAGTTAAGGTCAGGGAGGAAGGGTAGGAGCACCGATATCTAAACCAGGGGACTCGACAAGCCATAAAGCATGGGCTTTCTGGGACACTTGGGTTCGGCGGTGACATACGATCCTTTGCTTTTGGAACGCAGACACTTTAATATGCTGATATGAGTTGCAAAACTCCATAATGACCACGTAGAATAGAGTGTTCTGAACGTTTCTACCCTGGAAACTCTTTTTGGCCCTGTCTATTAGAACGCTGGGCAATTTCAAGCCCATCCAGTGGCCGAGTTGAGCCAAGAGAGAAAGCTGAGACAGTGAAAAGAACTGGACTTGGAATCAGAGCTGAGGCTAAATCCTGGCCCAACACTCAGTAGCCGATG